TTTCGGCTGCAGAGCTGCAACTAAGTCGTAACTAGGAGGAAGTATTATCAAATTAAGGGAAAACAGACGAAATATGTAAAAATTAAGTTGGTAGAGGGTAATTTTGATAATATTGAATAACCTCCAATTAAAATTTACAAAGATCGATGCATTTTAATCGGAAGATGAAATTAAATGCGTATTACAATTCGAATAAAGCTACATCACAATTTTATAATTGGAATAATTTAGATAAATTTTCAAATAATAAGTCAGTTTCACGCTAGTTCTTTTAAAGTAAATTTGTGCATAACATTTAGATATCTACTATTTGTATGTTTCACAGCATGCTTTCGATAAACATCGACTTCACATCACTGCGGTTGTTCTGGCTATTTCACACAATTAACAAGAAAATGATACCTTATTCTTTTGCATAATCATGCAATGAAAATAAAAATTACATAAACGGATGATCAAACTTGATATTATTTAATAAAAATGTAATTTTTCCAAAATATCGTAAAGAAAAATCGATACATTTTCACACTCGTTTTGCTATATCGTAAACTAAGTCGAAACTACTTAGTAGAAGTCTGAAATGCGACTATGAATAGAGGTAAATTTTAAGTTGGTACTTAAATTTAAGTTGCAACTTTGTTAGTTTCGACTTAGTTGCTGGACTATGAATACGCGCCATTGCATTTATTCTCAGCAGTGTTGAAAATTAAACGTGAGACCAAAGCGGACATGCATTTAGGTGAGTGTCTGAGGATACAAGGTTGACCTCAATCACCAAAGAGTTTTTTCATGATTTATTCGCCTCTTTAAATTCTCTCCTTTGCCCCTTTCAAGCGATGTCACGAATATTTCCATTCCCCTCTTTATTATTACGCGAGATTCCGACAACTTTCCTAGTGAGAACGCTTTGAAAGCAGAACGTTACAAATTTTGGAGGTTATTTCTATTAGAGGCTTTGAATGCATAAGAGTTAAAGTGATTTGTAAAACGTGTTTTGTATTTCATAGTGAAAAATAGAAAGAATTAAATGATTTAAATTTTTAAAACAAGTGCGCTTGAAATTTGTTCAAACATGATGTACCAATTTTAAATCAATCATTTTCACAATCGTGATCTACTTTCGTACTGGCAACGCTGTTCAACTCGAATGCCAAAAAATTGCCTCCGAAAATTTCGCGCAGACAGCAACACCAGTCATCTCGCTCTAACACACATTGGTCCAAGCATGAGGAAATTTTTCGAGAAGCATACTCGCAGTTGGCTGCGTCAGTTCCACTTTGACGGCTGTGGGAAAAATTTGGTACATTTGAAGCGCGAAATTTTCTCTATTTTAGTGAAATAGCAGCCTAGACATACAGCAAAGTGCAAAACCTGCATAAAATAATTAAATACAATTGCTACAGTTCTAAAACGACGGCGTAAGCACACAGTTGCAAATAAAATAAGTTAATAAACGCAAAGTTGTGCGTGTGGCGTGAAAGAAGTGTGCTTTGGTGCTGCTGCGGTGTGTAGAAGTGAATATATTCTAGATTTTTTTCAAGCGCAGAAAAATGTGGCTTAATTAAATTTATGCTAGTTTAGGGTAGTGTTTTTGCTTATTTGGGAGCACGGTAGAATCTACACTAATTATGGCACGTTTTTCTGTGCACTTGTAAATTTCCATTTTTTTATTTTTGCGCTAAATTAAAATGGCGCTGGTTTGTATGTGTGTGTTATCGGCGGTAGTCGCATGGCGGCCGAAATGTATGCGGCGATTGTGGCTGCGAGCTCGCCCGGCAGTCTTGTAAATTTTGTTATACATATTTTTAATATTTTGGGTTATACTATTTAAAGGTGTTTCACTTTCGCTAACAAAATGTAGTACAATCAAATTTAGCATGTACTAAGCAGAAATTTATTTAATATATTCCTCTGCGGGAGGCTTTCGCTCGGTTAACGCTGCTGCTGTTGCGCTGCGCTGCCTCGGACGCTGCTCTGCTACGCACGATTCTGCGGTGACGAGTCGGATAAAACGAGTCGAAAGCAGCGAAAAGTAGTTCGCCCATTGAATGGAGGAGTAGTAGATACAGTTCGGTAGAATGTGCACCTTTGCATTACATTTGTTTGTGTAAAGTAGTAAGAATTATCTTAAAATGTTAGAATTCATATTTTTGGCGAATTAAATTGATATTTGAAATAATACAAGTCAAGATCACCGGTAAAGCTCAGGGGTTTGTTAAATACATATTAAGAAGAGGAGTGGACACACTTTTGAGGCCTGCTGGAAGTTGTGGTTGATGATCTGCCTGATCTAACCTTAAAGTCTTAGATAGTAAGGTTATTGAACCTCATGGTGCGGGCAAAAGCTGCAAATTATCTTTTTAGGGCCAAAGTTATGTATAGAAAGTTATTTTGTTCAAATTTAGTTAGTTCATTTTTCTCTAAAATTCATATTTGGGACAAAAAAAAAAAGAAAAACCTTTACGTCTAAATTTGCATATTTTTAGACTCATAATATAGCATTTAACACATATTGCGTCGTTTTTTAATTCTCCATACTCATTTTTGTATTTTTTTTTCAGTTTTGTTTTGAAGACCTTATTTCTCTGGATTTCATTAGCAGCGCTGAAAACAGCTTTTTAAATACTAATGTATGGAAATATGAATAATGGTGGCCACGCGCCATACGGATACAATGGTTATAGACCGAGGTATTTATGCACATATTTTTTGTATTTATTTTATAGTATGTAGATAATATGTATCTAATTTAAATGTAGCGAAAATAATGTGTAGTAGGTACATAACGCATTAGGGATTCGCGTTTCGGTTTTGGCTGGTTGCTAAAAACCGTGCGTTTGTGACCTAATCAGCGATTAGCTGGTAAACTTATGTGATGTAGTCTTCTAAAACCTTTACATATCGGCATATTCCAGATATAAATAGATAAACATTTCGGACATCATATTTATAACCACTTTAGTTATTTGATAAAAAGGCGGGGAAACTTTCCATTATGGCCGTATGGCCGTATGGCCGAAGGGGGAGTGGGCGTGGCACCTCCAACTGACCTTTTTGGAGAGGTCATGAACCGCCATTGACAAAAATGCATCCCCCGACCACCTAGGCCCCCCATGTTTCCCTACGGACCCCTTAGAAAAATGGCCTAAAACCGCAACTTTTACTTGCGTACACAGTATTTTTGCGTAGAATTCCTTTCTGCGTAGGTGGCCTTCGGCCGCGCTTAGGGATTATAACCCTTACTACGTAGAATTCTCCTTTCTGTGTGACTTAACTGGGCCTACCGCCCCAGTGATGTAACTTTGGGAAAGGATGAGGTAACTAGAATTCCCTATTCTGTGTGGTAAACCTGGGGCTGCCGCCCCAGTGATGTCTATTTTGGTTACTGGGTGTTTTATAAAAATGTCTTGTATATAAAAGTGTGTATATAAAAATGTATTGTGCAAATGAATATTTAACATTTTTCAAGTGAATAAACGCAAATGAAGATTGTGATTTTTGGCAATTTTTCTAAGGGTTCCTTAGGGAACCATAGGGGACCTAGGTTGTCGGGGGTTGCATTTTTGTCAATGGCGGTTCATTCCCTCTCCAAAAAGGTGGGTTAGTGCTGCCACGCCCACTTACCTTTCGCCCACCGCCCCTTTAACGAACGGCCATAAAGGAAAGCCAACCCCAAAAGGCTTCAAAGTAAAAAGTTGAAAAAAATAAAATAAATAAATAATAAAAATAATAAAATAGCTTTAAAGGATGCACAAGATTTAAACCAAATTATGTGCTAAGAACTGATTTCTTGCGAAGAAAAGCTATCCATTATTTAATAAATGAGGCCAAACTATCAATATTTTAATACCCAGTTAACATGCTCATTTGCGGGCGAGAAGTGAAAATGCCACATAAAATATAATCGATGTATTGCGAACTATCATTGTTTATTTTTCTCTAACATAATTTTTTCTTTTTGTACACCTACTACTCTACATTTCTTGGCCAGCATTGCACCTTACTTTTTTTATGAACAGCCACGTGCACTTCCTGTCAATGATTCTTAGTGTGCATTTGTGGCTTGTCCTATGTATATACAGCTGCGGTCAAAATAATAGCGCCCAAATTCAATAGGGAGTGTCTACTTACACGCGCTACGGTAACTTTTACCGTAGATCCACGGTAAAATTACCGTATATCCATGGTAAAAATTACCGTATATCCACTATAAAAGTTAGCTTAGATCCACCGTAATAATTACCATAGATCCACTGTAAAAAATACCGTAGATCGACGGTGTTATAACCCTTACTACGCAGAATTCTCCTTTCTGGGTTGCCGGAGAAGTGGGGCGGAACTTCTTTGTGCCTAGGTAAATTTTACCGTGGATATACGGGAATTTTTACCGTGGATCTACGGTAAAAGTTACCATGGCGCGTGTGTCTAGATAGTGCCAATTCAATATGATATTGTACACAAGGTTAACAAAAATTAATCAAACTTCATCAAAATTTCCAACTTTTTATATAGAATTTTTAGAAAATTTTCGAGTATGCAGTTTTATGGACTATTCATTTTAGTGCAAGTTTAAAATCGCTCAAAATTACCGTTGATTTTTTAGAATTTTATTGCGAAGATGTTGAGCATTCTCTTCCATATAACTCCTCAACAAGATTAATTTTTTTGCTCAAAACCCTCAAAAAAACCAGTGGTAATCTTAGGCGACCTGAAATTATTATTTTGACCCAAACTGTACATATGTATGTATGTATATACAGTATCGGTCATATCTATTACACGCCATTTCAAAGTGATATTGTGTGCCACTTACACGTATTTATTTATTTTTAAGAATTTTCAATTAAAATACAGTTCTTTCTCTAACAAACCCCATATAAACCCAAGTTTAACAATTTGTAGAAAACTTCAAAAAAGTGCAACAAATTTTCACCTAAGTTTCAAACTTTTTTCTCGGAAGTGTTAGAATTTTTTCGAGTACAAAGTTTTTTAGCCCCTTCAATTTTAGTCTGATAATGTGCAAGTTTCAAGTGGCTAAAAGTTACCGTTGATTTTTTAGAATTTTTTTCGCCAAAGGCGTTGCGGATTTCTTCCATATACAAATAAATTGAGTTTATTCATTATATGGAAGCCAATGCGACAAAAATAATCTAAAAAATAAACGGTAATTCGTAGCCACTTCAAATTTGCTCATTATCAGACTGAAATTGAAGGGGCTAAAAAACGGTATACTCAAAAAAATTCTAACACTTCCGAGAAAAAAGTTTGAAATTTATGTGAAAATTTGTTGCACTTTTTTGTAGCTTTCTACAAATTATTAAGCTTGGGTTTGTATCTGGTTTGTCTGAGAATGAACTATATTTTAATTGAAAATTCTTAAAAATTAATAAATAAACATAAGTGGCACACAATATCACTTTGAAATGGCGTGCTATAGATATGACCGATACTGTATATGCCCATGCAATACTTGTGCTTTTTTGTTTTCTTGGCACTTGTGTCTATTTTTTATTATGTATTTTAATATTTATTCTCAAATATTGATTTTTTTGCAACAGTGTTTTGGTTTCTTTTTTTTCGATATAATTTTGCATATAAATTGCTATTGAAATTTTGCCAAAGTAGCTGCTGTGGGACGAGCGATTCTTTTGTATCTGGCGTAGGTTATGGCTACATTAGTTACTTTAAAAGGAAACTATACATTGCGCCGCAATGTAGCACTTGAGAAGGCTAAGTAATAAAATTTAAAGTCCATATTAAAGTGAAAGGCGAAACAGCTGCGGATTAGCGATTAAACATGCCACGACAGTCAGTTCTACGTTACCGGAACTACCCAGACTAATTCTGGACAAGCACTGTTACTTCGTTAAGTTTCACCAAAAATTCTACAACAACCCATTATACATATATGGGATATATATGTACATACATATAAAATATGCAGATCTTTTTACACAATTAATAAATGTTAATCTTTTATAAAATTTAGTAGATTTACTGCCCACGACAAAACGATTACCCCTCAATATCTTGAACAGTTTTGATAATTATCAAAATTTATAATTTATCGCTTGTTTGTTTAATATTCATTATTTTTACTTTTAAGCTTTTATCTAACAAATACCATATAATTCCAAATTTCAGACTTAGTAAAAAATTATCAAAATTCCACAAACTTCATCCCAATTCCAAGCATCTTAATTTTTATTTCTATAATAATATTTGGTATGTCTATTTAATTCTAGCATAATAAAATGAAAGTTTGAAGTTGCTAAAAAATCGCGTTGATTTTTGATAATAATTTTTCTGATTTTTAAGCAACTTCAAACTGTCACTTTATTATACTAGAGTTTAATAAGCTATAAAACTGCATATCAAAAACTAATTTAGAAATTCTAATTAAAATACTTGGAATTGGGATGAATAGTTTGTGCAATTTTTTAAATTTTTGTACAAAGTTTAAAATTTGATCTTATGTATATGATTTTTGTTAGATAAAGAGCTGAACTTAAATAAAAAAATTAATGAACCTTAAATAATAAAAAGACAATTTTTAAGCAAAAAACAAAACCGACTTCCATTTTCATATAAAAATTTAGGAGTACCGTTCATTTTTTCATGATCCAATGATCGGATCTCAACTAGATTAGCATGGGACCACCTGTGAGACACTACCTTTCCGATGCGAAATCGGTTGACGTGGTCCAAAGTTATGCGGTAACATACATACATAAAAAAAAATCGGACGAATTGATAACCTCTTCCTTTTTTTGAAGTGGGTTAAAAAGTAGTCAAAACTGGTAAAAATATTGATGTGCTATCTTTTGTCTCGGGCTGTATACCATAAATCATATAAGTCAAAGTTTAAAACTTTGGACACAAATCAGGAAAATAAGTGTACCAAATTTCAATAAAATGTCCTCGAAAGTTTTCAACTTTTTATTTAGAAATTGTATTCTTTTGGGTATGCAGTTTTGTCGCCTATTAAATTTTAGTATAATAATGTGCAGGTTTGTTAATTCTGAATGAATTCTGTTGATCTTTTGGTCGGTTGAAACTTGCAATTCATTAGACTAGAATTGTATGGGCTATAAAACTGCATACCCAAAAACGTTCTAAAGAAGAATAAAAAGTTTAATTTTTAATGAAAATTTGTTTGAATTTTCCTAAATTTTTATAAGGTTTGAAACTGTGCTTTATGTATATTTTTTTGTTAAAGCTGGAATGATATTTTTATAGAAAAATAACAAAAAAAATTGGGCTCGAAAAACATTACGAATATTAAAAAAACAACACGTGGTCATTTGTTTGAGTCACTGTATATGGTTTACGTTATAGAATGTACTATATTTTTATAAAAAAATAAACAAAACAAATATATCACGTAAGATATTAGGGGTATTCTCTGAGTCTTGCAAAACCCTTGCAAGGTGCACGGATTGCACGGTTTGCAAAGCTGTCCCATACGAAAACCGGTTTTTACCGTGCAATCCGTGCAATCTGTGCACCGTGCAAGGGCTTTGCAAGACTCGGAGAATACCCTATTGTAAATATTAAAAAAAAAATGTGCCATTTACGTGAGCGCGACTGTATATATGCAAGTATTTTTGGTGCCCCATTTCCAAAAACATGCCTTTTTATGAACCCCGAAAAATAGTTATAACTATGTACATATGTACATCCAAAATTCCTTGACATAAATCTGCCTCAATTGTTGTACTATTTATTTATACGCTCGGCTGGCTGCTGTACTAGTTTGTGGTTTTCTTATGCGTTTGGCGCCGCCGAACTTGCAACTGGTCGGACAATGATGGTCTGTGGCATTGCAACACAATGTTCTCAACTAATTGTACTTATTTCCTGTACGGTTGGTGAATTTGTATTTTTTTGTTGTTGATTTTTTTTCTTATTAAGTTGTGCGATCTTGCGATTCTCAGTAAAAAATATATGCTTAGTACAAATGCGTGTATGTATATTGTATATTTTGTGTATGTATGTACATATGTCTGAATTTCTACACAAGAATTTGACCGAACCACAACGACGCTCAACAAAGATTGCACCGAAAATGCCACATAACTGCCTGGCAGCTGCTGTTGTTGTGGTTTTTGGTACGCCGCCATTCCTGTTGTGCTATGTACTATGTAGTATGTAGTTGCAATTGCAGTCACATACATAGTCTATATTTCTGCAGCTACAAATACAGTTATAGCAGCTTGTTATGTTTAAACTTTTAAGCTACTACACTTGTCGCGCCACTGTTGCTCTTTCGCCCATTGTGCAGTGAGTTTGTTCCTTGGACATCCTTGTCCGCACTACTGTCGTATTTTTACTATTGTTTATCTACATCTGCTGGCATTTGCCATGTTTTTGACCGCATTTTCCTTGATTTCGTTGCTTGTTAACATAGTTCTGTTTTTTTTTTGTTTTTTTGACACAGTACTTTGGTGTTCTTGTATCAGTTTCCGCTTGTGCTATTTTCGAAAAATGTCATCCTAATTCCTTTTTGGAGAGTTTAAGAAGTATGCTGCATAAATTCTTTGCGAAAGAATGTTGGCTTTTAGAGCGTGGTGAAATTTATTTTTATTATTGCCGGCTCCGAGGTGTAGATGACAGAGTTATTTCTCTAATACTGTCACAATACTAATCGATTTTTACTGTTCGGAGGTCATTAAATAGAATAAATATATTGGGGGTATTCTCTGAGTCTTGCAAAGCAGTTGCACGGTGCACAGATTGCACGGTAAAAACTGGTTTTCGTATGGGACAGCTTTGCAAACCGTGCAATCCATGCAATACCGTGCAAGGGCTTTTGCTAGACTCAGAATACCCCTATTATGATTTCTTTTTTCAATTTAATTTTCAGCCAACTAAAATCAAGAGCCAAAATTTGTATTCCTATGACCAATATAATCATTGCAAAGCCATTGCACCCCCATTTTGCAATGGGGTGCTCTCGTACTCTTCGAAATTTGGAATAGTATTTTTGCATTTCGTGCGATCCGTGCACCGTGCAAGACTATGAGAATACCCGTATTATGCTCACTAATATTATTTTGTTTACTTCTAATTAAAAAATCTAAAAAAAAAAAATCTCATCCATTCATGCATGCAACGCTTTGAATAAAGCAATGAGAAGCACACAATGTGCACACTTTATTGATTATCGATAACGGAAGAGTTGTATTAATGCCTAATGACGTCTCCACTCCTAATTGAATTGCAGTAATCGGGACTTTCTTGCTTCGGTACAAAGCATTTACCATTTTCATTTAAATTATATTTTTCGCTATACATAGTTTCACTTAAAATCAAGCAATAAGCATTAACCACTTTTGATATAGTTTCTCGTCTAACTATTCCGCCATTCTGCATTACCTCTGCCTTTAATTTTTCGTGCCTTTAAAAAAATTGTCTTTTTTGTTTCGGTCCAATTTGCCTTTTCTCAATGTATGTACCTGCCATAAACCTTTTTTTGCTTGTCTTTCTATATATCTGATGATGTGAGAAGCAGATGGCTCAAAACGGCCACCCATTTGATGAGTGTAGGTGTTTTGACCTTTCAAGAACTGACGGCCATCATTAAAGCTGCTGAACCTTTCTGAAAAAAACTACTCAGTATGTATTGTTTAGTTGTTGGTTGCAGGCACAAAAATAGGAAAAATAATGTGGCAAGGTAAAATAAATTAACATTGACAATGCATACTTTGCAGTGTGGCCCCATACAAATAAAAAGCAATGAATGTAAGCGCGACGTGAATGGAAAATGCTGAGGGAAATAATTAAAATTAAAATGAAAATGAAGAAAAATTGTTTTCTTTTTTAAGCTACAATTTCTTTGTTTTTAATCTAATTTTTGTCATATTTCTCACACTACACAAATTTAAACCCTGTTGTAAAGGTATCAAAATCTAATTCTAAAAAAAAATCATCACACAGAACCTAGTGAATACATAAGGAGTTAAAAAGCAAATGTTTTGCGCCAAAACTGCGAGCTAGTAAAACAATAAATAAAATAAAAGAGATTCTTATATACCAAATTTTGCTCGATTCACATTTTTTTTCCGAAACCAAAAAAGCAAGAAACAATTGTGAATTTTATGAATAATTTAATAGTGCAAATATAAATTCACAACCACAGCTAAAGTAAAAAATAACTACAAAAAGACCAAAAATTACCACAAAACATAACATACAAACAAAAATTAAATTCCCAACTCAACAAGGACAACAATTAAAATTTAAACATCAACGCCGAAGCAATAAATACTGCAAGCTACTACGTCACAACAACGAAAAGTCACATTTTTGTATATTTCGCAATATACATAGATATAACAACGGCATACGATTTATATAATTTTTGGATAATTTCGAAAACGTGCAGCAGCGGGCAATAAGGAAAACCGCAGCAGCCACTATGTACCGGTAATTGTTGCACACATTAAAATAAAAGTTATAAATTTATACGAATAGTATGTATTTGCCTAAGTATTTTTTTTTGTGAATATGTCGTACGTTTTATAATAGATTAATTACAAATTTACGTTTTTTTTAAATATTATAAAATCAATAAGCTTGATGACGATAGTATGTACATACATATGTTCAGTCCAACAGATAACTAAACTCCCCAAAAATGACGAAATATGTACATATGTATGCATGTGTGTATTTATTTGTTGTTTTTATACCAAATATATGTATGTATTGTGTATGTATATATCAACTTCTCTTTATTATTAAACATGTGATGTAATTATTTTTACATATATGTACATATGTGTGTTCTAATACATTTTCCGCCCATTATATCGAAAAGGTAGATCACTTTTGTTTGGTACTCTACTACACATTTCTTCTCAAAAGTGTGGGCGTTGTGGCAAATGCATTGGCGACCAAAATTAAATATTAAGCATTTTGTGTATTGCGTTGTGTGTCCGTTGCGTTCTTTTCATTTAATACTTATAAAAAATTCGATGGTATACTTGTTTACATTGTCTAAATGGCAAACAAATTCAATATGCTGAAATAATTGGGACTCGAAGAGTAAATGGAAAGGGGAGAGACTTTAAATATTTACTAAAATACTCCTTACTTTAATAAGTAAAAACATTTTGTAAGTATTTTTTACGTAGAATTTTTTTTTTTACAAATATGTTTGTTTTATTTAGTATATCTACACAAATTTATTTTAATTTTATTAACGTCAAAATTTATTTTGAGATCAATACAATTTCTAGTTGTTAATAAACGTGTATAGGGCCCTATCGTTCGAATGGACACCGACGCTCCAGCTATGAAAGTATTAAACTCGGAACCCGCTGGTGGTAGCAGAGGAATAGGGAGGCCCCCACTGCATTGGAAAGACCAAGTGGAGAAGGACTTGGCACCACTTATCATTTCCAATTGGCGTCAGTTGGCACAGAAGTGAAACTACTGGCGTACTTTCTTAAACTCGGCCAAAATCGCTGAGGTGGTTACAGCGTCAAATAAGAAGATAAAGTACTACGTAACCGGAACGACCCAGATTTATGCTTTATCTGGCCAAGAACTGCCACTCCAGAAACACTCACCAAAAACTCTGGGGAATTTGTAACAACAACAACAACAAAAAAGTATAGGACCTTTTATGTCACCATCAGACTCAATAAATCCGTCTGTTATCGACCATCATCCTCTGTTTATAAGATCTATTAAGCATTTGCGTGGTTTGAACTTATCAAAGTTTTCATAGTCATAAACGCATACATTCTTTTTGCAATAACAGCCACACCCATTTATGTAATACTCATTCGAGTTTTTGCGCTCAACAAAAATACTTTCCAACTCATCATGTACATATGTAACCGTAATAGGGGCAACATAAGATATTTGTATCCCTATAAAGGTGGCTCATAACCCTGACGGCCCAAGATGTTATAAAAGCTAAAAGTTTCTTGGAATACGAATTCCTGTCCATAAAGGCATCGACTGTGAAGTATTGCAGTGTAAGTCTGGTTATTGTTGCTCAATCACACATAATGTGCTCTGACTGACCTCTCTTCTTCAAGACAAATACATCAATACTTACCGTGCGCAGGCCAATCTGGTTCCGCAGTGTCCTGGTACGCAGCACAGTAATGCCGGGTTCCTTGCTGCAAATAGTTGTAGAGTGTTAAATCACTCCTTGACGAGCCTAGAGGTGATCGTCCTATCGGATAGGGCCCCTATGGCCGTCTGGCTGTCTGAAAAGATAGCTCGAAAAGCGCCTTTTAAAACCTTTTTAAGGTTCAATCTCGCACAAATTGAGATTGCCAAATACCAATTACAATACATATAAATTTCAGTGCAAGGTCATCTCATTGTATCCTGATTAATATTTTGAAATACTTTCGTACATCTTTAAATTAATTACTACTAAAATGGCTACTTTAACTGCAACTGTTTTGGTTGCGTATCTGTTGTTTGCACTAAAATTTAATACATCCTCCATATGATATGCAATTAAGTCATTTGCGAACACCAACTCTCCCCTGCACTCTTGTACCAATAGCAATGAAATTTTTTGTATGAATCACAGATGCAAATCCATACATATCATTTTATAGGAGACCTATTAACTCGGTAAATACAAAATTCCATATACATACATATATACTTACACACAGCAATGAGAATGCTGCCACACTTTCGTTGCGAAAGTGTTAGCGCACTTCCACTGACTGAGCTGCGCCCAGCTTCCAATGTTGAATATGAGTAAATACTTTTTGCGCTGTGTGCAAACAAACAAATAAAATCCTAATGAGTTTACCAAATTTAAAATCCTACCAATCCCCCAAGGGATAGCTGTGCTCCAGTAGGCGTTCGTGAGAAAGCAAACACCGAGCGGAAAAACTGAGTAAGCGAGTTAGGGAGTGAGCTGCTTTTCAGCGTTACTTCAGACTATAGCTCGCTAACTAAACGGATTTGGAAGCATTCAACCAAATCTCAAATCGCCAGTGTTGTTGAAATGAATACACAGCTGCTAGTTGTGTGCTAACTGATTGGCAGTGGCTGCCTCAGATTCATACAGATTTGCAATTACATATGTACGAACAATATCTGAATTCTATATGTGGTGGGTTGAAATTAAGCGCATACTTCATATAGCAAGCAGTGAGCGCGATACTCGTTCGCTTCACACTTCACTGATTTGCAGTAAATAATTGAAAAGTTTCACAAGTGCTTTTACTACTATTTTGCCACAACTTTTATTGCCTTTTCGACTAAGAGTACTGTTGCCACTGCTATTAACATTGTTTGTTTTAGTCTGTTGCTGCTAAACTAATTTATTACTGCACTTCTTAATGCGCTCAACTCTCAGCCACTCGTTGCCAAGAGACAAGTGCGCTTCCCTTCGCTTTGCTTTTGAATTTTCAGCTTCCGAAAGACCTTGCACTAATTTGCACTTCTTCTGGTCCACTTGCCCCATTCACTGAGTATCTAATTTTATTTATACTGTGGCAATTTATGAATGACTACTAATGAGTGGTAGCAGTTTGCGAGCAGTTGGCATTTCAATTGGGTACCTTGCCGGTTGCTTGCTAGATTTCGGAAGTGCAACACTGTGTAAAGAGAGGAGGAATGACTATTGATTTTTGATAAAGCATGTGTCTACAATTCTCAAAATTTTCCCGAGTAAATAATCAGGCCCTGAACTGCTTCTAAACGGGTTTCTATCGATATCGGCCAGATGTTTTGTCAACTCTCTTGAGTTTATCTAGTGTCTGCATACCACACAGAGCTTCATTTTCGATGCAATTTGTAAATTTAAGATTAGTAAGTAGTGCTGCCTGCTATCTCGTTCAATTATGCTCAAGTAGTAATTTTGGCTTCTCGTAAAAATAAGTTTTACTATA